CAACCAACCAACCAACCAACCAACCAACCAACCAACCAACCAACCAATATATATATATATATGTATATAATATACTGTATATTTGCAGATACATAACGGGGCAAGTGGATGTCCAGAACATTCAGAACACCAGCTAAGAATTTGAAGCATGCGCAGTAGCAGTCCAGACTTTTCTGAGAGGTGCTCTTTGTAAAAGAAGCATCGTCCGAAGCCTTCCTTGGTTTCCAGACTTGGGGTGGTTGGTTTCTCTAGGACTCTAGGCCGGCCCCTTTTCTTCTTCAGTCCATTGACCCAGCTCATGGGTCTCTGGTATAGTTGAGGCCTGGGGGGGTTGCAAGTGGAGGTCAAACACGTGCATCTTGGATGCGGTGGATAGCTCCATGCGGCGCCGGGCAAAAATGAACACTCCCGGCGACAGCTTCGAGTTCCAGACCATGATCTCCGACCCGCTCTTCGTGGTGCAAATGATGTTTGTGTTCTTGATGGTCTTGGGCCCTCTGATGTATCTTAGACCGCCATAGGTCCTTGGTGATTCTTCTGTGCGAATGCCGACCGGCAATGGGCAGTTTCAGTTTAAAGGTTTGTGGCCTCACCAAAGAACGCTGCCAACCTGCATCATCTTTCCTCCGTCGGGGTTTCCATGTTCCATCACTGGCAAGCAGTGGCAACCACTTGGGTGTGTGTTCCAATAGGGGTCTCCCCGCAAGCTCTGGTTTTGGAGCATCCGTTTGCTGACCTCGGACCTTCCATGCCCTGGCCCGTGGGGGTGGAAGGAACTCAATCAGTGCGCCGGTCTCTTTGGCTTCTTCCAGGGGCCTCTTTGGGAGGTCTCCTGGTCTCCTTCATACACATCCCTCACGATGGAGACGTCAGCCAGCACGCCCAAGCAGTGGTCGTGGTTTCATCGGAATCAGAGGTTTCCTTTGTCCCACCAAGCAGTGGGAGAGAACCAGTGGTAGTGGGATGAACCACCCAATAAATGGGAAGAACACACATAGAACATGAACATGAACCACACACACACAGGCCAAAATCCAATCTTACAAATCCTTGGCTTGGCGCACGCCCTCGGCCTGGGAGACGTTTTGGTTCTTTCTTGGGCCCTCTGGAAAGAGCATGAACCTGCGAAGATCAAACGGGGGATCACTTTGGGAGGGCTACTGGGAGGGTCAGCTGGTTCTTTTTTATCTCATTAGTTGCAGTGAGGTGGTAGGCCGTGAGAACGCCGTTTTGGTTTTCCCTGGGTGTCCACATCATGGAGACTGCTTGCCGGTGACGGGAGCATAGGTATGTGCTGACCTTGTTGATCTTCTGCTACGTTGGGAGTCCCTGGAACATGCCGGCGAACCTGGAGCTTCAGCGCATCATTTCGGCGAAAGAGATCGTGATTCAGAAAGAGCTCCTTGCAACTGGGTGGACCAAGAGATGAACGAAACCAACGGGGCGAGAAAGTTGAACTCCACAAAAGCAGGTCGGGTGGTCGGTTTCTTGTGCTTGTCCTCATGTCCGTTCGGAAGCCGAAGGGAGACGTGCGAAGCTCAGGAGAATGGCCAGATCAAAGCTTGGTGCTTCAACCGTTTGACAATCCTTTCGGACTTCTGCTTTTGTGTGGCGGACTTCGTCACGGACGTTCGAATGATTTGGATCTACCTACATACTCATCATCATTGGTTTGCCATCTTGCAGAGTGGCATCTCACTTGGGCACGCTTAGCGGAAAACCCTTTTCCTATTTTTCCCCGTTCTTACGGTAGGTGTAAAGCAGGTGTGCTTAGATAGGTGTGCCGCGCGGGCGTGTCCGGCTAATTCGCTGCTATTTACAGTGCATTCATGCTTCTCGAAATCGTCCAAGTGCATTTCGAATGCTCAGGCTCGCGAAATCTGCGTGGGCGCGGCGGGTGCTTCTAACGACTTGCTCTCGTTGTGGTGCCGTGTGCATTTTCGCACATGGTGGTCACTTTTCGTGGCAGGCGCAAGGGAAACGACTTTTCGTGACAGGTGCAGGGGATCAGCTGTTTTGCTTCGAACTGCAGTTTTCGTGGCAGGTGCAGCACTTTGGACATGGTGGTGATCGTCAAGGAGCTCAGATTTCGTGGCAGGTGCAGTGAATCATGGCTTTTGGACATGTGCCTCGTTTGCAGATTTCGTGGCAGGCACAGCACTCTGTGACCCTCGATGTGCAGATTTCGTGGCAGGCGGAGCACTTGGTGAACCTCGGAGTGCAGATTTCGTGGCAGTTACAGCACTTGGTGAACCTCGAAGTGCAGATTTCGTGGCAACTTGGTGAACCTCGAAGTGCAGATGTCGTGGCAGGCACAGCACTTGCTGAACCTCGAAGGGCAGATTTCGTGGCAGGTGCAGCACTTTGTGCTCTCAGAGGCTCACTCTCTCACTCCCTCACTCTCACTCTCGCTCTCGCTCTGGCTCTCGCTCTCGCTCTCGCTCTCGCTCTCGATCTCGCTCTCGCTCTCGCTCTCGCTCTCGCTCACTCACACACGCTCACACTCACACTCGCTCTTCACTCGCACCCTTCACTCACACCCACATTCACACACTCACACTCACTCATACTCACTCTCACTCACGCTCGCGCTCACACTCACTCATCATCACTCACACTCACTCTCATCCACACTCACTCTCACTCACACTCACTCACACTCGCGCTCACACTCACTCACCCTCACTCACACTCACTCTCATCCACACTCACTCTCACTCACAATCACTCTCACTCTCTCACACGCACACACACACACACCCACACTCACGCTCACTCTCCCTCTCACTCACTCACTCGCTCGCTCGCTCGCTCGCTCACTCACTCACTCACTCACTCACTCACTCACTCACTCACTCACTCACGCTCTCACTCACTCTCTCTCACTCACACTCACACTGACACTCACACTGACACTCACACTCACACTCACTCTCACTCTCACTCTCACTCTCACTCTCACTCTCTCCCACTCTCACCCTCACTCACTCTCCCACTCTCACTCTCACTCACACTCACTCTCACTCTCACCTCACTCTCCGACTCTCACTGACACTCACACTCACGCACTCACCACCTTCATCACCACCATCACCTCTCTGGACCCCAATGCGTCTAGATCTCTAGACTTTCTGCTTAAAGACCTCGCACACACTGTTTGGGTCTCTTGCCGGGACAATTTTCCTCATCCCAAACTCATTCACCTTTCGACCCGAAAGTGGGATGCTTTGGGTGATTGGACCCCACATGGGTCACCAACCTGCCGACGGTTTCGCCACCGTAGGTTTGGTGCTGCGCGCTTTCGTGGCTCAGCTGCGCCATCGCCTTTGGCGCGTGGGGCACGAGCTCTGCGCCTCGCTCCGCGGCAACGTGCGCAGCGACCGCTTGGTGGCCTTGATGCAGAGCGAACGCACCGGAGAGGCCGAGAGATCCGACGCCGAAGCCGGAGGGGGTTGGGACTTCTGTTCGGGGGTTGGGGATGAAAGGGTTTGAAGCTGATAAGAGAGAACAGCGAATTGCCAGAGCTCCATTCCAAGGAAAAGTGGGTGAACCCTGCAAAACTGTCAGGGGCAGCCTCTGGCCAAGGGGAAGGGTGCGTCTAGAGCTCATGATCGCTTTGATTCCAACCGCGGGACCGACCCTGCCATCGTCGCCGGCGCATTGCAGCACGGAGACCGCGGCCGCTTTTGGCGCCACGACACGCGGGTGTGTAGCTCAAATAGGGAGCGAAGGAATGTGGTGAAGATGGTACCCCCTGGACCACCTATATGGCCAGGCCACCTTGTCGTTGCTGCTGCAATTGTACGCCTTCTTCTACATGGTCACCGATGTGAGTGGCTACTGGACAGCTGCAGTGTCGATTGCCTTGTCGGCCTGTGCATTGACCCAGGGCTGTTATGTGCACTTCGACCTCGCGTACAGCGAGGAGCAATCCGCGCACGATCGTTTGGACAGTGGAACCTTGCGCGGTCGAACCTCCAAAAACTCCATGTGGACTCCAACCCTGTTTAAACGACTACTACTATCTAATTTGATCATACACTTACATATATTACGAAAGCCAGCCGATAGGCTAGGCTTGAGCTTTTAGGGCGAACGAAGTGAGTTAAGGGGTGTGGGGGTGGGGTGGTCGCTGAGGAGGGCCTTTGATAGGGTGGACGCAGAGCTAGGTGGGGAGAGCGCTCCAAAGTGAGGGTCCGAAAAGCAGCAAGAATGGGGTCTGGTGATGCGAGTGATGTAATAGACGCCGAGTAGTGCATCATTAGCATCATGAAGGGCTTTGGAGGCCATTTGGTTCCACTTGTCTCCCTTGCCCCCCAGTACACTCTGCTTGGCCGGGTGTTTTGACATGTTTAGACACTTGTCTCCACTTGCCTCTTTGCTTGTCTCCCTGCTTAGACACTCTTGGCCAGATGCTTTTACACTTGTCTCGATGCTAGTCTCCCTTCTTGTTACACTTGTCTCCACTTGTCTCTCACTTGTCCAGGGACTACCTCTAGAAACACTTGGCCGGATGTCTTTACGCTTGTCTCCAGTTGTCTCTTTGCTTGTCCGCTGGTTACGTACTCTTGGCTCGAGGCTCTTGGCCTGCTGATTTTTACACTTGTTACACTTGTCTCCGACTTTGTTTTTACACTTGTCTCCACTTGTCTATTTGCTTGTCTCCCTGCTTAGATACTCTTGGCCGGACCATTGCCAAACTGATTACAACATTTGTCACACATTCATGGTGGGTTGAAAGTTATTAACATCTTTTCACCAAAGCAAAGCATGACAAAGCCACATGTCAGTACAATTCAGCAAATTCAGTAGCATATGTTTTGTTTTCGTCTGAATTGCCGGTCCTGACCTTGAGCGAGCTGAAACAATCCCAGAAGGTTCGAGTTGATCACCACGAGCGGAATGGTTCGAGCCGTTGACTGTTTGACAGTTCGTCCATGTGGTTTACTTCATAAATGCGCAAACTGTTTGGGGTCTATGCTGGTATAATTATGTTTTATTGACGATTCTAGACCACAAATCCAGGTCAACCTCTAATTCAATGGTCTTCGAAGACTAAGGTGTCTTCATGCTTCCAAAATATATCACCATGCTCACAATGTGATCCACCTTCCATGCATCCACCCCATCATCCACCCCACCCCATCATCCACCCTGTCATCCACCCCATCATCCACCTTCCATCCCCTTGCGCTGGTCATCTCGTCATCTCATACCATATCTACAACCAGGATCCCCCCAAAGATCCTCTTGCATGTCTCCAAATCCGATCACGGCAGGATTGGGTGCCGCCTGCGTCCGGTGGCGCGGATCTGGCGGCGGAAACCCGGCCGAAGTTGGAGGAACCCGATCTGGTGGATCTGGTGGACCTACCTGTGCCTGGAGAACATGTAGGCGCGCATGTCTGGATGCTTTTGCTCATATTGGCCCACGTGTCAAGCTCGTTTTCGTGCTGGCTTTTTGTTCACAGTCCTGGCACGTCTGAGTACTTTTCCAGTCAAGCTGCGTCGCCGTGGATGACGATTCGGAGCCGTTCGTCATCCATAGCTCGGTTTGTATTCCCTATTTATCACCAAAACGAGCTACAGGGAGTTCGCCAACCCCTTGCTAGATTAAAGTGGATTGGATTAAGAGTAGATGGCGCAATCCCCAAGTTTGGTTTACACCCAAGACATCTCGGGGGTATCTCGTGGGGTGTGCCATCGAGCCTCTGAAACCACCGTACCGTAGGATTCAAACCATCATTATTTTAATAGGCTGAATCCCAAACAACCATTGTTTTACTAAGGACTTTACACTGCAACACCATATCAACCTTTTTTCAATGGTCTTGGAAGGCCAGGGTGTCCCGAGTCCACACCCCAACCCGTTTGACCCAACTGGACGCCAGAGGCGAGAGCTGGACGCCAGATGAGATGGACGGTCGCTGAGCTGAGATGGAGGAACCACACGGTCATTGCGGGTGTTTCTTTAGGTCGCTCACAAAAAGGAAACCAGCCATGGAGTTCTTGTTGCTCCTTTATTCAGCTCAATCAAACCAGCTCAAATCAAACCAGCTTTGCTTGGAGCTTTGGGACCTGGGATCTTCGGCTCTCATGTCTTTCTCACGTCGATCCGCTCCGCCGCACCGGATCCGGAGATCCGGCACCATCGGTGCGCCGGATCGCCGGATCGCCGGATCACGCTCGGCGGAGCCGCGGAAGGGAGTGGCTCAAAGAGGTCGATCTCGCAGGCTTGCCGCAAGGAGAAAGACAACGTCGGTTGGACATCTTCCTATTAAAAAGCCATCCCAGAATTTGGAACACTCCGAATCACCTTTAAGAGGCACGTCTTTGGAAGCTTGTGGTATAACTTGAGACGAACTGTCTCAGCTTGCTTTCAGAGTGAATGGATCGCATGACGGTAAGGTGAATGGTCGCCAGATCGTATGGACGGTCACGAGCTGAGTGTTTTCATTTTGAAACCTGGCTTGTCATTGTCTGTAGGGCTCCTGGCGTAGCTCCTCCATGACTGGACCCACCCAGCCCAGTCCCACCTTCGAAACGAAGGTATGACTGGAGCCCTTGTTGGTGTGTCCATTCTGGAGAAGATAACTCCCAAGACATGCGGTTGTTAGACCTGGTCTGCCAAGGCAAAGACTTGGAGATTGAGAACCACCGCAAATCTTTACCAAACGATCGACCTCCAAAAGGCTCTTGACAAGGGCAAGAGGCCAGAGGAGGAGGAGAGAAAGCACAACCTTTTTAGGCCGATGCCTTGGGTCAAAACCGATGCCTTGCACCCACTCAGATCTCACCCAAAAGGTAGTACCCCCGCACGACGATGCAGTGGCTGGTCGTTGATCGACCAAGAATCAGAGCGGTTTGGGGTCGTTCGGAGCCAACCCTGACAGGTTGAAGAACCCACGCCCAGGCGATTACGGAAGACGTCGTCAGGTTGGTCACGTCCTGCCGTCGCCGCGAAGTCTTTAATTTCTTGTATAGTTTCGCCGACTTGACCACACTCAGAATGAGTGTTGCGGAGATCGTTTCACCGAAAAAAGAACATGTTATTACTTTTTTTGTGGTGTGTATTGTCTGAGCCGTTTCAGCTGCAAGCCTTTTTTGTATTTCCATCGGAGAAGAGGGGCTACATCTCCGTTCTGGATTGGAAAGGGACTGGTTTATTGATGCCTGCAGTCCTGACCGCCGGTCCTGACCGGGCTTCCAAAGGTCGGAGAAAGCATGGGAATTCACGAAAGATGGGGAGAGGTTTCTCTTTGCAAGCACATCAAAAACTCTCTTCGACCCTTCAGGTCATTGGCCCTATAGGGCCTACTAGGGCCTACTAGGGCTCCTGGCGTACCTCCTCAGATTGTATGACTGGACCTTCCTGGCACCCATCCTAGTCCCACCTTCGAAACAGAAGGTACGACTGGAGCCCTAGTACCGAGTGAGCGATCGACCGCATTTCCCAAGGAAGAGTTTTGCCACCCGACTCACCCGACGATGGCCAGGATTGGTTTCAGCACGAGCGGGGTGCGGCGATCGATATGAGGAGCGGGTTTTCACGATCGGTGTTCGTCAGCTCTGCCGGACGGCGGGTCTGTTGGTGGCGGTGCTGGGTCTTGTCTTCTGAACGGACCAATTGGAATGATGCTGTGCAGCTGGTGCAGCCTTGTTTGGAAAGAGTTACATTGGGCAAGTTCAGCGTGAAACTTGTTTGGAAAGACATCCAGTGGTCCATTTTCAGCTTCTATGTTAAACTTACGGTGTAAAATGTGACACATCCAATATATAGATGGTTTGGGGGAAGCGTTTTCGTTGGTGAAGAGCTCTGAATGATTTTGGCCCTTACAACGATTCACAAACGGAGCTCGAAACCAGGTCCCCATAATAAAAAAAGGGTCGACCCTGTGCATACTTTAAAATTATGGTTTCAGCAAGAAGAGGAGGAGGAGGAGGGGGAGGAGGAGGAGTTGGAGTTTGGCTGAGCAGCCTGCGTGCCGAAACAAACCACTCCGTGACATTGGGTCCCGCCAGAATACAGCCATGTTTGGAGCTCCGGTTGGAGCCGTTTTCGGAGAGAGACTCTACCGGTGCCTTCGCTGAACGACTCGATTTCTCGAATTCCCCGCCCCTTTCGACCTGCCGTGCCGGTGCCTTCGCCCGCGACAGGTCGCCTCGCAACGTCTCCCCGCGATCTCCACGTCGAGGTGCCATCGATGGGGGAAGAGTGGAAAGATTGAGCCGCTCGAGTGGATCTATGGGCATGGATGGGGAACGTGTTTGAAAAACTTTCTGGGTCTCTTCTTCTTCTCAGGGCTGTTGAAAGATTCTGCTTTGGCTGTTGAACGATGGTGGAGTTGTGGAACGATGCCGGAGGACTTTCACCACTCTCACGGGCCCTGCGATCGAACGTTGCCAGGCCTCTTCGACAGCCCCATGGCCTCCCCGCGTGCGATGCGCCGCTGCATGCCGTGGCGACCCAGTCCGAGTCGTGAGCAGGTCGAAAGGCAGCAACAAACGGTTTCGTTGTGAAAGGATGGACTTCATGAATATGGGCCGTGCTTCTATCCCTCAAATGGGAAGGCGTAACAGAGGGTCCGCTGCCATGGAAGGTTCAATCATTTTACGGGAGGAGGAAAGAACGATCTGGCAGGGGTCCTCCAAGAGTCCGACCAAACCAGGGATAGATGGATACGAAGAAGGACAGATCCAGAGCATAGCCATTCTGGCAAGCGTTTTTGGATCGTTCACTGTAGACTGTAGACTCTCTGCTTTCTTTTAAGTCTTTTTCACACGACTACACAATATGATACAATATTCGTACTGTTAAGACAGCTCTTCATGTGCAAATGCAACATCCCAAAGGAGGAGGGACATCGAACCGATGTCTTCTTCAACCCGGAGATGTCTGCAAAAACGTACGATGCATAAACCGAATTATTTATGACTTGAACCGTGGATCGAGTTCCGATGTACCTGGCGCTTCCGCTGGGTGTGTCGTGGCTGGACTCCCCTCAAGGATTCATTCCGGGCCCTCAAACAAACACATCACTCTTCCAGATATACGTGTCCCAGGGTGCATTTGGGACTAGTCCCTAACATGTTCAGCTCTGGTGCGGTATTTGCTGGGGAATAACCGGAGAAAACGGTTTCATAATGATTTTAAACACGGCCCAACATGCATCGAACAACTGCTAACCTGTCCCATGACAGAAGAGATGCCAATTTTCGTCACGGGCAATGTTAGCTTTTTTTTCATGATTTTAGTCTAGATTCCCAGGATCACATTGTAAGCCAAACACCTTTACGCAACTAACCTGTCCAAGTCACATGTTTGTAAAAACTTTTGAATCGCTAACGTGTCCTGCTTATGGATCTGATCTTCTGGGTCAACTAACTTAACCAAAAATAAAAAGCCTGTAGGGGGATACGTCAAAAACCGGGAGAGTAGGCTTTGGAAACCGGGTCCGAACCCCTGCGTTTCGGTGGAGAAGGTCCGACCCATGCTATGGAGAGCCCGTTTCGATCCATCCAGAGACCTGGCAGGTCTGAGCGAGGTCTCACCAAGCAGGAGGCACGGTCACGCATCTCAGATCAAGTGGATGGGTGAGATCTTTGGAGACCTCGTCCTGACCACCACAGGTCATCAGGTCTACCCAGTCTACCCGTAGTCTACCTCGTGTCGTCTACTCTACCGGTGAGCCAGTGGGATGGCATCACCGGTGAACTGGTGCTGTGAATATGAAGAAGAACTTCAGGGTATCATGAGGGTATGATGCTGTATTCCTTCGCTAACCTTCCAAGGCCATGAAAAGAACGGTTGAATCCTCATAGTATATATATATATATAGAGAACTTTCTAGCATGGTTGTTTTGTAAAGGCTGTGAAATCCTAGGTTTCAGATTTGTCATTTTGGACATGCGAGGGCTCTTTCAGCCCTCTCAGGTCGTTTTCGATTCTTTGGAACTTGCTGGGTCTTGCACGGTTACTTCCAAAGACATTCTGCGGATCCTGATCCAACTGTGAACCGCCAAAGCACTTCCAGCATCTTCCCCGGGTGTCCAATGGAAATCCACAGTGTAGGGGCTTCCATTGGTGCATGTTGGAAACACTGTGGGAATCAAGTCACGACCCTCGCCGCGCATTTTCGGGCCCACAAGCCGCCTGGTTTCGATCGCCGTCGCTGCGCGTAGGATAAGCCATCCAATCTCTTCAATCGAGATGAGCATCTTGGCAAAATCGGGTTGCCAGTGTTTCCTTTTTCTGCCGTTTGGGCTCTCAGAGCCCATGCATGCCCATGCCAACAAGCCCATGATCTTAGTGAGCTTCTTCATGCGCTCAGATAGGAGCATGAATGGGCAGGAGCATAAATAGGACCCCTTCATCCCCTCATCACGGTGCGGGAATCCTCTCATTGCGTGTGGACCTCTCCGGCATGAAGACGTCCTTTTTCGCTCCTTGCCTCGGTCCGGTCTCGACGAAGTCGGACGCCCCGACAGCGGCGGGACCTCGCGCGCGAAAGGCCCAAAGGAAGAAAGGTTTGCCGAAAAGATTCGATCTAAGATATTTAAAATGGTTTAAACCACTTCTAAGGTAAATCATTAAAACCACTTCTAAGATATTCAAAAGGTAAATGGTTTAAATGTGGGCACAACCAAATTTGCGAACACGAGAGTTGCAGAACCAAGTTGTTGCGATACAGGCGGTGCTCAGTATGGGATGGCGAGAGTAAATCTGCTGAAGTCCAATCCAGGGACACTCAGAAACACACCAGCGCATCTACAGACCCCCAAATAGATAGAAAAGTCAATCCCCACTAAAAGTATATTGGAAACCGTACCACTATCTATTTGGGGATCACTATTATAGAATGTGAGACCTCTGGAAAACTCGTTTCCTCAACCTCCATGCCCTGCCTTTTGTGCAGTGTAGCTGCTTGGTAGGCTCTTGCAGGCCCCCAAACCGAAGCCACAGATGCATGTCATGATCTCTGACCCCCCAAACCCTTCTATTTTGCCTTCTTGTCCTTCCCCCTTCAAACCTGCGGCACTGACCGCCTCGGCCTACCGCCGGCACTTACGCCGCCGAGGCCCTTTTGGACCAGTCCCCGCACGCCCAGGAGCTGGAAGGACGGCGGGTTGGGGGTCGGAGCCGGGACCGCGGTCCCCGCGTCGGCGAACGCCGAGGAAGACGGATCGGATCCACGTCTTCGGTCCGTTTTTGGGTTTTTTAGAAGACCTGCTCGGTGGATGAAGACTTGGACGTGCATCGGTCCGGGGTGGGTTTCGACTTACAGGCCACTTACAGGCAGCAAAGTGGTCAAGAAAGGCACCCCTTCAGCTCTCCTATCTCAGAAGATTCCGACCAATCAGGACATCAAGAACGCTTACCAGAGAATGGGCCAATTGGAAGTATATATTGTTGGCTGGGCAGGCGTAGACGGCCAGGGCATTTTGAGCACATTTTTGCGAAATCCGTGTGGTATCTACAGCACTTTTTGTGTGTCCGCGGGGCCACTGGGAGAGCGTTGAATTGGCAAGGAGCGTTTTTCTTTGGTATTGTGCATGTTTTTGGCATCGGCGCCTGTAAGGGGCCGTGCGTTTCAGGCGTTTTTTTAACTTCACATGCGTTCACATGCATGCTTTCACATGCGTTCATGGGGGGGTTGGGGGGGTTGGGGGTGGGGTGGAAGGACTTGCCGAAGGACTTGCCGAAGGCGTATCCTGTGCATGTCATGGTTTTGGGCGCTGTGGAGAGAGCACGTGCCCCCATCCTGTGGGGCCCTGATTGCAGGGTGACGAAACCAGGTGCAAGGCCTCCTACAGAGTCCAAAAAGCAAGTGCAAAGCAGCGGGCTTCTGAATAAAGTCGATCGACGCAAAGGCAAAAGCTGCTGTCACTTCGATGGCAATCGAGCTTGGTCAGCAGAAAGCAAGCGTCTTGGTCTTCAACATCGGCAAGTGTGTCACCAAAATATGGAGTTTGCAAAACCCGTGGATCGCACATCTCCAGGATTATCGAACCTTGGAGGAACTCAATGCATGGATCGATGGTGGCTTGCGCTCAACAGCCTCAACAGAAAAGTGAAGAAGGATGGAAGAAGTGTACGTACTATATAATTGACCCCCTTTTCAACCACCCAACGTAGGTCAATATGCCAGTCCCATGGATGGTCTGGGTTGTGAGTTGGACGCTCAAAGACCAGCTATGAGACCTGATGAGTCAGTGATGGTGCAGATCATGCAGATCACGTAGCTTCTGCGTCGATGATTCACATAGGATCGACCGTCATCTTGTTTTTCCTTTGGATCGCGAAGACCATCAGGGGCGACCGTCCTTCCCAAACCAACCAGTCCCAAACCGCAGGCGCATCTGGTGGGAAGCGCCGCCCGTGGTAGGCGCTGCGTGACCCGCGTGACCGACCCACCGCGTGACGATCCATGGAGCCACCGCGCCTGGACCTTGGGATCTGACACATGCCCCGAACCCCTGCAGCGACTAGGGGCTCCTGGCTTTACTACTAGGACCAGGAGCAAGGACGCTACACACGGGGCTCCTGGCATCGCTACGAAGGGAGCATTCTTACGACGAAGGTAAGAAGAAACTACTAGGGCCCCGGGCCCTTGCAAGCCTAGTCCATCCTGGATCCTAGTCCATTCTAATCGAAGGGGTGACCGAGCCCTTGCAGGTCACCCCGGTCGGGGGAGTTCTGGGTGCGGACCCAACCAGCATGAGGTCGTTTTTCTTCGTTGAGGCCGTTTGGTGGTCCGAACCTGGTCGCTGGGAAGATGTGTTTGATACGATCTTTTGGGATGTGAACACCAGGGGCTGACCAAATCTGTGTGGAGTTCTTGAAGTTCAAGAAAACATTCAATCTGATCAGCCCGGAGCTCCCTGCCCTGGGCGCCCCTTGTTAGTATACTAGACACGCGTGCCCTGGGCGTCATATTTCTCCCTCTCCTCCCCAACTCCCGAACTCCAGCCATAACACCATAGATGGCCTTCGAAACGGCCTTTTGGTTGCTTGATTTCTGGAAGGGGGATACCCCCGAAGTCGTTTACAACCCGGATCCCATAGGTATTCTGGATGGTATTTGTGGTACCTGGCGCTGACCCCCTGAACTACTCTTCCCCCAAACTGGTCGGACATAAACACACATGTCACGCTCGCCTGAAGCCTCGGAAGGTCCGCAGAGGCACTGCCACTGAAGCCTCGGGAGCTGAGCCCCCGCGACACACTGCAGGACTGGACCAAGGAAGGTGCGGCCCCCGCGGATGCAGAATGGTTCCGTTTTCGGGACGGGTGATGTTGGTCTGAGGGGAGTATCAGTTGAGACGTCCAGGACCTCAGGTGCCCATTTCCGACCTCTTTTCAATCTCTTCACACGGAGGGGTTCCACTCCCTGAACCGCCCCTCGGTTTCTGGGCGCCGGCCTTGGCACTCCTCCACACGTGTCTCGAAGACCGGCAGGAACGACCCAATGTGCCCAGGCAGGAACGATCCCCGCGCCTGCCGCGAACGGCGGCAGTGGAGGGTGGAGCATGGTGGAGGGACGGCCGGGCTCCAAGCACATGTTCAGAAGATGCTTGGGGTGGGTGCCAAAAGGGGTCTAACATGGTCTGGTCTAACTGTCTTCTGAGGGATGTGGTTGGAGCCCTATCTATATACACTTTGGGATTCCAAAGACTGTTTGAGGAACCACCGAAGTGAAGGAAACTATAGGAAATTCCATGAAATTCCTAGACTTGAGTCACCTAAAGACTCTTTTTCAAAGGGTCTTGGACTCCCGACTCGGGCCGATGGTGTGTTCTTCCCGGACTCCTTCTTCCATGTCTGTCCCATCCCAGCCCGGCACGAAGAACGCAGGTCGAAGAGTCCTAATTTCGATGTCTCGGAGGATTGGATGGCGCCCGGCGGCCTGTGGAAACAGGGCCGTTGGGGTGCGGTCCGATGCGGAGCGGTCGATGCAGAAGAGGCCCGGTTCAGGCTTGGTCCCGCAAAGAGACTCCCAGAAAGCACTGTTAACAGATTGTAGAGTCGACCATCTGAAAGGGTGGTCGAATTGTGAAGAAACCCGCTTCTCTAAGACAAGTTGCTGATTCTTTCTTTCAAGGGACATATTCCTAAGGTATAATTTAGAACATCAACCTTGCTAAAACATCTATCACACGGGAAAAAACACCCGATGACAGAGCACCTTCCATTCACGGTCACGGTCCTTTTGCTGGTGACCCTGACCGACGAACGACGTCCTCCGCTACCTTCTTCCAGACCCAGGTGGTCCCGGCCCCCAGAGCCTTCCTCTCCTCGGCATGATGGTGGCATGATGCCGCCCGGAGCCCTCGGTGCGACCTGGCAGCGCCACCAGTGTCGCCATCGCGTCGCTGTCTCGCAGCGACCGGAGCTGTTTGGAGCTGTTTCTCCGTGTGGAGCCGAAACTGGAGACAGCTCCGATGAGAGCAGATAGGCCTTGTGATGCTACCGTTCGTGGGACAAACTGAGGGTGGTCGATGAACTGGAAGTGGGAGACCAAAATGCCTTCCGAACTCCCTCACCATGCGACGTGAGGTAGTACTTAGGATGAAAAAGCCAGACAACATGGGAGTCGCCAGACATTGTGGAGTTCGGCATTCCAACGGTTGAGAGCTCATGATTTTTCAAGGTGTGAGGAGTGCGTGAAAGCGGAGTTGTTCAGCCGGGCTGACGGTGGCGCCAGCCATTTTGTTTGCTATAAAGTCCACACAAACAACCACAAACAGCCAAGCAGAGATCTTCTCAGCAGAGTGCTGATGGTGAGATGCATTTTCATCCCCAACCTTCGCCCCAAAGACCATCCCCCACCGCCCCCGCCAACGGTGCTCGAGGTGCGGCGCCGTTCAGGCGGTGAGCCCGCCTCGTGCGGCGCTCGTCGATTCGCTTTCTCGGTGGCCGAGGTCATCGAACTTCAAGAGTCCCTTGCGGCGGATGCACAGCGGTGCCTTGGGACGAGGGTTCTTCCGAGTCTCCGAATGGGACCGAAAAGGGGGGGCGGCGAAGCAACTCTCCACGCGGAAGTCTAGGGGAAGCCCAGTCTCAACTTCAGATTGAGGTTGATCCATCCGAAAAAACTCCACCGTTCATCTACACTTGACGCGAACATGACCCGACACGGCGGAAGCGGAGTGTCCGCTCGAGGCAAGATCACCCGGAACTCCGAGAATTGGCTGGGGCTCCTGGGTGGGTGGTCACAAGAGCAGAGGCGCCAGTCGCGAAAGAACCCGGTTACCCCTTCGTGCTCGTTCCGTCCCTGGTGAGTCGCCAACTAGGCATGGACCGTGAGTCGCCTGGCTCCAAGCTCCGAGTGTGACTTGGGGCAGGTGACTTCCCCTCCTCACGATGTGAAGTCACCATTATTTCTTCGCTTTTTGGTCGAACAACTTCCCAAGAACTCCAAGCACTATCGAAGAACATCGTATCGAACTCCATCATCAATTCTCTTAGAACTCCAAGAGCTCCAAGCAGCCACTCGGGCAGAGAAGAGAATTGATGATGGAAAGTGGCCCGATCTGAGTTGTGGAGCCAAAAAGATGGAACAGGTGAATCTCGATGCTCGAAAGAACACATGTACACACATGACACATGCGTGTCTTTGGGGCTACGCTCGAAGTTTCGCCATTTCGTGGTCTGGAATCCTTGACCCCTCTCGACATACTCAATGCCTGGGTCAGTGCGAACACTTCTGTGGGAGTACCCAGACTTGTGAGGGGCTTGTTGTTAGTGCGGGCCAGGAGGAGTGCCCGCCAAAAGAACTGTTTCACACATCGTCGACAGTATGACGCCAGAAAGAACACTCAATCTGGACACAAGCAATTATTTTTCATGGGCCATGAACCACCCATGAATCATGGATGACATACATAGATGACTTGTGATCCATTCACAGTGTTGGTGATGCTGACACTTACCGTCCTGGGTGCCGAGGCTACGTATGGATGGCCAGGACGTGCACCGGTTTTCCACTCGCGCCAGACGTTTCTACTCGCACCCGCGCCAGACGTGCCACTCGGGCACTGCGGGGTGTCACTGGTGGAACGGACCTTGGCACTTCCACTCGTTGGGGTGTCGAGTCCGGTGGGTGGACGTTGGGAGGCTGGGAGGTCTCGTGGAGGCAGCTGTACCTGGAGGTCCCATGGTCCCACTGCGAAAGATGTGGAAGCTCCACTAGGAGGGAGGAGGGGGGGAAGAGAGGCGAGGAGGTCTGAGAGGAGAGGAGATGGACACATCACAACTCTTTTTCCCAAGGCTGTTCTGCTGTCCTGCTATGGCACATAGGATCAACACTCAGAGTATTTATATCGCTGGGAATAGAGGCAGTTGAACCAATAGGTGGGAAGAATCATCACGGACATCCTACGCCAGACTATCCATGTCCGGAATATTTACATACCTACAAGGACCCCTGAAATCAAGCACCCCTGGCCGTGCTTCTTGGTCAATCTGCCCCATCCGTCGGTTCTGTGCCCCGGAGGATTCGAAGCCCCTGCCACCCATGATCGCCAACAGCTTCTTGGCACCCCAAAATGCGGCTTAAAGGGCCCGGACGAAACCGAGATCTCGAGAATTGGACACATAGATATCAGAGTGGTAACCCAAAACATGTTTAAACATGGAACCTCCAGGTGTGTTTCTATCTCTGATTCTTCTGGGGTCTCAAAACCACCCTGTACCTCCACCCCCAAAAACGGCTTTTCAATGCTTTTCATCGATGCCAGGCCAGACACCAAGATGCACCAATCACCTGCGCCGCTCTGGACCTGTCACAACAGCTGGTCTATTTTGGCGAAGCCGGCGGCTCCGGCGGTTGGTTCCCATCGTGATCCCACTTCCAACGACTTCAGACCTGTGGTTCCACAACGTCTGCACCCTTCTTCGTGAGGCCTTGACACCTGCCTTCTTCCACCGGGGTGGTTTCAGATACCGGGGCGGTTTCAGTGCAACCCCTTGACACCGGGCAGTGCCCGGTACCGAAGCCGGCGCTCGACTCAACGGCACGTGACCCCGCTCACCCGTCCTACGCGCCGGCACGTCACCCGGCCGCGTCGGTGCGGTTCGCTCGGAGCGAAGGTGAGAATTTCGAGATTTCTCGTGGGAAGAAGACCGGGCTCCACAAGGCTGGGAAGATGGTGACGAGAATGTTCGGTGTCACGAATGTTGGGGGAAGACAGATATCATTTTTTCTGCATCCATGGTGGAGGGATCACACATGCGGCAGATGTGTCCGTTTCTTGTTTTTGCTGGAACTTCCACCAGGATAGGATTTTAGATGATGTTTCTAAGGAGAAAACATGCAGGGAGGTGGACTGGGTGGGGTGGGCTGGCTTTTGTTAGCCATGGCGACTCACTTGGAAGCACACGCTTTGCTACTTGAAAACCTCAGCACAGCGGCTTCACAGCCAGCGTCGTGCCCAAAGAACGCCTGAGACTTTGAGGACCTTGACCTTTCTGGATGATTTTTTGTTATGGCCAGGTCGTGCCTGCCTTCGTTCCGGCACCATTGCCCAAGCAGAACGATCATCTCAGGAAGTGAAATGATTGGAAGAACATGGAAGAACTACTTTCCTGGGCTCTGTAGGGCTTCTTGACTAGCCTGGGTGGGGCCCAACGGCCATTCAACTGCTTTCTCACCTGGGGTGTGGAACTCCGGACCGTGACCTTCTTAGGAGCTGGACATCGCGAAGCACTTGGTGAGGTTTGAAGCAGACAGGCGCCGCATGTTGAGGTGATCATCTTCTTGAGGATGCTGGGGTGACCCCCAGGACTTTGAAAAAGACCTGCAGGCAGACGTTTCAAGGGGTGGGTGGTATCGACCGACACTGTGAGTGGTTCACCTCCGGGATGACCAGGTGGTTTGGGCGACCAAGAATGGGGGACTTTCCAGCTCAGTGGAGCTCAGTGGAACCGGGAAAGAGGAACAGGCGACTTACGAAGCACACATGCACCAGGGGAGGTCTTCCCCCCATCATAAATCAGGATACTCAAGTTTACCACGAATTGGAACACTTTGAGATTGAAGAAGATGCTTTGACTCTAAGATGCTGCTGTCGAACTGAGTCGGATGTCACGAGTCGGATGCCACCAAAACCCCGCAGGGTGCCAGCTGCACCCTTGAGCCACCGGCGCCATGACTTCGCGGACCATCCACAGGCGCTGTTTCAGCGCCGCTTTTTTGGGGCAGTTTTCGGTAGACCTTTTTGTGGACAGCGGAGGTGCCTGTGGCTGGGATGGTGGAATCATCATTGAACTGCTTCCAACAGAATGTCCAATGGACTTTGTCCACACTGCCCTACCCGCTTGCGGGAGGTTGATTCCTTTCCGGGACTCGAGCCGCAAATAGGTCATTCCACCGTGCGTCGGGGTCGGGGTCGAGCGGCCCTGCACCGTCTCCTCCTCCCAAAGAGCCAATCCGCGGAACGGGTGTCGCCTCGGGTGACCCACTCGCGAACGCTCACCGTCACGTGCCGAGACTCGCAGTCGTTCGGGGCCTGGGGTGCGCAGATTTTGAGCTCCACATGTTTTGGGGTCATGGATCATACACAAAATAGAAACAATAGATGGACTAAAGGCTCCTCCTTCTTCTTCTTCTTCCAACAAAACACATGTCCGTTCTTCTCTGCGGCTCCGGTGTCGCCCACCGGTGTCGTCCAGGCCGTGAAGCACGTGGAGGGGCTCCGGACCTTGAGCCCCCGAAGGTGTGTTACCTCGTTGGGCCATTTGTTTTTTTTTGTGTGTGTTACCTTTCAATTTTTCCTTTTATAAGGTGTGTTTTGTTTTGTTTTGGTTTGGTGTTGTTTTGCTTGTTTCTCTCCTGGATTGAGAACTCCATGTCTGACGGCGGAGAGAGTGTTCTTCTCTTGGTTTTCGGAGGCACGTTGTTTGCTCTGTTGGGTCACGAGTTGATAAAGGCTATGGAAAGATAAGGTTTGTCAACATGCTACAGGTTTCCTGGTCTATGCCCCTCCATTCGCCTCTTCCTTCCTGATCTTCTTTTCTCTTTCATGCCCCCTACCTTCATCCTGGGAGCCATTTGGGTTCTGACCAGCTCCAGACGCCATGATGGCGCTTGTAGCCGTGACTCGGCTGGCTGCGCCTGTCCAACCCGTGGCCATCGCCCGAAGAACTCCAGCGAGGAACTCCACGCCCAAAGCGGCCCACGGAAGAGCAGCTTTGGGGTCGCCCGGATGGATTTCTGGTGGATATTTTTCTTTTCACCAGTAATCAGTAATCCACCAGTATATTATAATGCTGGTATCGAGTGTTTAACACCTTGTACCAGCACCCATCTGGTGGATTCCTGAGTGTACCTTTGGACCGTCCGGGGTTTTGATCTCGGCTTTCGCCACATCTTCGTGACAAACCCCGGGGTGGTTTTTCTGGACACCCCTTAAATTGTAAAGAAGGGGCTACTATAAGGGGCTATGATTCGGCATCCCTTGGAGGCTTCTATCATTTCAAGACGGGTTTTCCACCTCTTCATTCACCGTGCCACGAGAACCGGCGCCGGTTCTCCCACCGTGGTTCACCTCCGAAACCGCAGGGGCGGCGGGGCGGGAGGGATGGCTGGGTCAGTGCTATTCTAGGCTTCCTGGCCCACCATCAATTATTAGATTTACTGTAATAGCCTTTACCAAACAATCAGTTTTAGCAAGGATTTTGCACTACAAAACCAGGGCCCCTTGTGGTTCATTTACTTGGCCTTTCAGGGGGCGACCAAATGGGTTCCTACAACTTCCTACAACCGTAGATTTGGTCCATTACTCTCATAAATGACACTCAGGTTTCTGCACTTGAAGATGCCAGAAAATGCCAGTCGAGTCTGCAGCAGTCCAAGGTCAAAGCTTTGGTTATTTGGCCTGGTTGCGTCGGCCTTTACTCTTAGACCTGTTGCCTCCACGCAACGCTCGAGAGATTCGACGAGGCTCATTGTGAGGCGCAGAGATGTTGAGCAGTGCAAACATCGAAGCGGCTTCGGGGACCACCACTACCACAGGGTCAAATGGTTTGGTCTTCCGCAGTAGCGGCGCACGCTGACCGCGGCGGTTTCATCACATGGAACGACATCACTTCGGTTTCCTCGAAAGTCGGGTCCGTAGCGGTTAGGCCCTCCAACCAGACCGCAGAGCTGTGCGACCGTCGTTTTCCGAACCGGGATCCGTAAACAGCAGCGAAGCGGATCCGAATCCGATCGGTTTCGAACTGGGAGGGGCCGGAACTATGAGACCAACATCCGCAAGAAGAAGGGCCCCGCCGAGCGAAAGATGGCCAAACTGACGCAGAAGCATCTGAGATTGATCATGATCGCCTTGAAGGTGCCGATGTTCTCCGGGTCGAAGCCAGTGAAGCCAACAGAGACGGTGGCGACTTCGGGTCTTTTTGAGGGTCATCTCGGGTTGGAGCGAAACTTACTACTTTTTCTTTTTGAGGTTTGATACAGTTTTTTTTTGGTGTTTGAATTCTTATTCTAGCGAACATTGAGGCAAATGGAGAGCAATTTCTTTCCGTGCCTTCCCCAAACAGCTGAGAGGTGCTTGTTTGCCCACCCTCAGGCTTCAATTGTCTTTATCAACAGATTGCCGTTCTCCAGTTACTGTATATCGTTGTATATCCGGTATGGCAAGAAGCACTTTTCTGAAAACTCAGCGTCATTCCCAAAGACTCAGGTTTTTCAACAGCTTCTGGTCGGCAGGCTTGTAGTCGGATTCTCAAAAACATGAGGCATGACAACCGTAAAAATCGGTGTCTTCTCAAGTAATATATAATATATATATAATATATAAGTGGATTGATCCCCGAGAAAGAACACAACCACCGTTCCAGCACCTTCCTTTCCAAGTCCGGTGGTTGAGGTTTTGGGACAGCCCGGATCGCCTCCAACCTAGAGGCTGTTCGAGTGCAGGGACTCCGACACCTGGCTCGGTCCGATGCGGGGAACGTTCGCCTGGAACCGTTTTGGGGAGAAAAGAGAAAAACCGGCCTCAGAAGCAGGTTTTGGTTGTGACCTACTTGTATGTACTATGCGGCTGTATAATATATATATATATATATAGTAATCATTGTAATGTATCATATCATGTAGAGCTATTCCTTGCACCCTACTTTAAAGATTAGCACGTTCGTTGGCATCCTTACTCCTCTCCTCTCACGCACCGCTCTCACCCCCAAAATGCCCGCACCGCTCTCCATCCGCCCGCACCGCGCTCCATCCGCGCGGATGCCACCGCGGAGGCTGGAGGTCCGGATCCGGCGGCGAACAGCATGCTGGATCGCTACATCCGAAGCGCCTTGAAGGACAACGTCCCGCGCGACACGATCGACCGGCGGATCAAGGCCTTCACGGAGCAGAAGGAAGCCTTTGAAGAGGTGGCTGAAGGATCACCTTTTTATCGAAGGGGAAGGAAGGAAGGACTCCATACTTTTTCTATTTGTTTGATCATGTAGACTGTAGACTCTTGATTCTTGATTAAGAACCCCCCCCACATGAAGCAGTTCGATCTCACCGTCTCCACGTCCCGGACTCCGAGACGGACCGGTCGCACCGGTGCGCGAGACTCGGCCCAAGGGCCGCAGCGGGCGAGGTTATGGAAGGTCTGATGTAGCAGCTCAGACACCTCAGGATCATGGTTCTTTAGAACGCTCACCTGGGCAATGAGCTGGAAACTCATAGTTGACCAGGTGGCGAAATACTGTACTCTTAATACTCTTCATAAGTGGGATGGGACATGGAACGGAAGAGTCATCACTGGAGACCATGAGTTTTGCATGAGACAATGAACGAGAGAGAGGGAGAGGAAGGAGTGTGGGACACATCAAGTAGGTCTGACAGAGTCTGATTCCTTTCTTTTCCATGTCCCCCATCGATTCGTTCTGGACAGGAAAATATATAGATCCCCACACTCCTCATCCCCATCGATTCCGCGTTCGGCCGACCATCCTCCACTCCCGGTCCGTAGCCACTGGTGCAGCTCATCCACCGTGATGCACGGACCGGACCGCGGTCTGGGTCCGATGACTCGTATCAACGACCGTATCCTATGGACCCATGGAACATGGGAAGAGAAGACGAGGTATATAAACGAATCGATGCTTGGACGTTGCTGGCATTTGATTCGATAGAGGTCAGGAAAGATCAAGAGACGAATGGACCCCGCTATCCATGGGTCTTTCTATTTTTTTGGAACGAGGGACCCGTAGGGAGACCGTTCCTTCGACCCCCAAAAAACGCCATCCCGTCGGGAAGCGGGAACCGCCTGGGATGGAGCCGTATGGAGCCGTGGTGCCACGAAAAACCATCCACGTGCCTTCTCACCATCCTCCAACCCTTCGAAGTTTCCAAGCCTTTTTAGGAGCGACGCTAGTAGGATCTCCCACAAAGTCTCCGCGTCGCCCCGAAGCTTCGCCGGTGACCAGCGCGGCCGTGGCCACGAAGCAGGTGGAGGTCCAGGGCTATGGCCCTGGAGGAGCGGCGGTGGTCGTCGAAGCGATGACGGACAACATGAACCGCACGCGGTCGGCCATCCGCGATGCTTTCAACAGTGTGAAGGGGGAGATGAAGAAGCCTGGATCTTGGGAATTTGGAGGGATGTTGGTTTAGTTTGTTTTTTTTTGGTGGGGAGGGGCCTGGCTTTTGTTGGGTGGCACTCGATCGTTTGTTGGGTGTGGGTGGCACTGACCGTGGGTGGCACTGGATCACCTTCTTCGAACTCCGGGTGCCTGCGCGCCGTTGGACGACCCTCCCACTACCATCATTCATTTTTTCGGACCTCCATTGGACACGAATGAACTTGTTCCAACATTGAACCGCAAGAACTGCGTACATGCATGATCATAAACCCAGCATGGCGAAATGATGAGTTGTTGCACAGGCACTTGACTGACCCCCCTCAAAAGGCTTGATTGTTGGTCGCTCTTTGCTTCATTTGATTGAACCCTAGGGGAATAAGATCGGAAGACTTGCTACGCCCGGGAGGATCAACATGGAACCTGATGGCATGGACCTTTGGAAGACCCTTTTCCTCTACAGCCCCACGTGGTTTTCAGGTTCCACTCTCGGAACACCAGGGCGGTAGGCCATTTGTGCTCCAACCGACTGGGCCACCTTCTCCCTCCGTTCTCCCACATTAAAAATGGAGCCGCACCCGAACCCGCACCTGCTCGTTCTCCATCCCGCGGGAAGGGCCCTTCCTCCTTTTCTGCTAGTGAAACGAATGGCCAGTACAGTCCTTCTTTTCTGGCCAGCTCGAGGAATGTGGGCGATCACATTTTTCAGATCGTCGGCGTCCTGGAGTTTGAGGGCGTGGACGAAGAGAAGGTTCTTGAGGCGTGGATCGGGGACGGCTCGCTCTCACGCCAACATGCTGGTGGTTGCTTTGTTCTGGAACGGTACTGAAGTCAACACTTCCACCTACTAGTAGACTATATTGCCTGCTACTTGGCCTTTGAAAAGATCCAAAAGCGCGCAGGAGCAGGGAGCAGCTTCCTCGTTTTCCTTCTTTTTCCACTTGGCGATGTCAACATCCTTCCCAGCATAGATGCTTGTGTTTTTGAAGCATTCACACACCAATGACATGCTGAGAAGTGCTTCACAGTCCAAAGGCTCTCCAGAAGATGCTGACAGTGCCACTCCTAATGACTAGCACCTTCAGCAGCGGCAAGCAACTCCATTGAACGGAGCAGGATAAAGCAGGCAAGGATC